AACAAAAAACTTCTTCAATCCACTTATCTAAGACCAAACAAGAAGCAAGAAGATCTGAAAATAAAAAAAAAAGTGGTATTTTTCTATCTTGAAAATAAAAAGTGGTATTTTGTTCTTTTATCTGTGACTATTTGTATTTGGTTACCACACATTTAAAGTCTGACGTATTAGTAGTTTGGATGATTAACGTCATACAAAAGAACTAAAATTTCTAAGTCGGCAAACAGTAAGTAGAAAATTATTACGAAACACAATGAATAATTCATCCCCCCCCCTTAATTTTCAATGCAAAAATTTTTGGTTCACTTTCCTTCTAAACAAAGAACTATTTGAAATAAAATTATGTATTAAGAAATTTGATATTTAACAATATATAGAAAAATAAACTCCCCAACAAAAGATAAATTGTCGGTGTTTAATTGAACTTTTGATAATTCACCCTTACAACAAATAAGACAACAGTTGTTGGTAGTATAAAGACATATGAATATAATCAGGATGATTAGGTTAAATTTAAGTAACATTTTTTTTTCAAAACACAACATTCAATAAGAGTACGCAATGATGACATCTGAATGGAATTACGGAATATATTTTATAATATTTTTTATGTAGTTTATTTCGCATATTTATAAGCTGGTAACGCGTTGATATGTACACCATATCAACTTTATTATTGTCTATATAGTTATTAATATCAGCTTAACATTTCAGAAAATAAGTTGTTATTTTGCAATTCGCCGTACAACGCCCTGCAATTCGCCGTACAGTGAACAATAACCGTTCTGGTTCATATTCTTTAGAAAACATCTTTTTGATAGCGAATTTCAGTATTTATGAAGTTACACTATCATAATCTAAAACATTGTCTGGAAAAAAGAATGAGAACCGTTGAATGTCTTGCCAGCGGGACGTCGGAGGGCGATCGACTTCGAAATTTTATGGTATCAAGTGTACGGTTTTGGACTATAACACAAAATCTTGTTTGTATGCTAATTGTTGGCATGTAAAATTAAAGCACTATCTATCAGAAAATCGTTTCATAAGCGGTTACCTCATCAATACGGTAGAAATGGTTTAAATTAAAGAATTTCTTACCTTGTTTATTGTTTTTTCTCCTTTCTCTCCGCTTCGCTGGTACCCAGTTTCTGATGGCGAGGATACACAGTGTAGTAAGGTTAGCACCATACTTTCCTGAAATGTTCGAAATTGACATGATCAATGATAGTTTCTTTTTTTCACTTTTTTAGATACAAATAGACGACGTAATCGTAATACAAATAGACGACGTAATCATGATACAAATAGACGACGACGTAATCGTGATACAAATAGACGACGTAATCGTGATAAAAATAGACGACGTAACCGTGATACAAATAGACGACGTAATCGTGATACAAATAGACGACGTAATCGTGATAAAAATAGACGACGTAATCGTGATACAAACAGACGACGTAATCGTGATACAAATAGACGACGTAATCGTAATGAAAATGACGACGTAATCGTGATACAAAAAGACGACGTAATCGTGATACAAAAAGACGACGTAATCGTGATAAAAATAGACGACGTAATCGTGATAAAAATAGATGACGTAATCGTGATAGAAAAAGACGACGTAATCGTGATGAAAATAGACGACGTAATCGTGATAAAAGACGACGACGTAATCGTGATAAAAATAGACGACGCAATCGATTCGTGATACAAATGACGACGTAATCGTGATAAAAATAGACGACGTAATCGTGATACAAATAGACGACGTAATCGTGATACAAATAGACGACGTAATAATCGGATTTCTTTTAGTGATAGAGCAATTTTAAAATGGGAATCGCTTTTTGTATAAAAAAACATCTTTGTAAACGACAGACATAACTTGAATTATTTGTATGTGTAGAATTGAATGGGACTGGTATAAAGCACGCAATTCGCCACAAGAGCCTTGATTTTTACATAAATTTTAAATAAATATACTTGTATGCTGCTTAACACCATTATTTTGATTTTATACCTGTCTTAAACGATTTAGGACATAAAACGTCAAATATCTTATGTTTTCTTATTGTTTTATTTATGCATTGAAAATAGCGAAATGTACCTAAGTGCGATGTGTTTGTAATAAACGGCCGCAAATTATTTATTTGTACAAGACAAACGTTACAAAGAATCATCACAATCTGACTCCATCCACTGTTATTTCGTAAAATTATATAAGATTATAAATAAATCTGTGGATTATTGGTTTTCGCATGATATAATTTTGAAAGGGTTTGTTTGGAGGTACAACTATTAGATTTTAATATCATGAAGAAAAGATTTGACATAATTGCACTCTGGCAGATATAACGTCGGTAACGTCAGAATTCCACAGAGTCCCTAGACTCAGTATAGAGCAGAGAATTTTGACTTTTTATCAATTTGTGTAGGTTCAAATAATTTTCACTTCTAACAATAAGGTTAAACTTCTTCAGGAACTTATGTAGCTAACAGCAAAAATCAAAGAAGATAAGATAAAGTGTTATACCTTTTCTTAACAAATACTTCGAGACGACAATTAAACGTTTATTTAAAAGAATCTAGGGGAAATTGAAGTAACAGTTATTAATTTGTAAATGACTAATTTACTGGCTATTTATATATTATGTTTACCAGGCTTTAACTTATGAAGGCAGAAAGAAATTTTAATTTTTGTTCGTGGAAGGGGGTGGGGGTAGGGGGGGAGTCACCGGGGGACCGGCTGGGCTGGAGCTACATATATGGTTAATGCTTATACTTATTACAAGTATATCACACCCTTAACGTAGCCTTGGTCCGCCACGTCTTTCAAAATCCTTGATCCGCAACTGGAATTATATTACTAATATATTTTAAATCTACCATGCACACCTTATATAATATAGTAAGATATAAATACTTGGTTAAACATTCATTTTATATTGAATACATGGTGAGATTGTATAGATCGTAAGAATGTTTGCAGACAATATTTTCATTAGAAAATGTGATGTACAAGGCGCCACTGGAAAGAATACGTTTAAAGGATACTTTACAAAACTTCTTGTTTTTATACAGACAATTTAATTAAAATGTAGAATTATTCTGATTTCGTATCTCCATTAGAGTTCCCATCTTCTTGTTCAAATTTTTTATGATTAGTTTGCACGCTTTAGCTAAAAGCTTTGAATTGCACATGCAATGCACAAAAGCAGCCATAACTTAAATTCAGTATATAAATAAATGTGTTTGTCCCCCATACGGAATTTGACGTAACGTCTATAGATAGATAACGGTGGTTTTCTCACAATGACGTTCTATATCCATAAGCCTGAAAATGTCATATGGATCACATATGTTGTCAATCAACAAATCACGATTTTACGCCAGTACTTAAAACCTTCCATCCTTTATGGGTGGATTTAACATAGATAAATAAAATCGTATAATAAAAAAGCAAAATGAGGATGTTAAATTTGATGTATGCCTTTGTGTGCTTCTTCGTTACATTTGTTTGTTTTTATAGTGATCAAGATGATAACACAATGTTGACTGCTGTACCCCTATTTTTGACATTTTTACCTATTGTGTCTGTTTATTTTGTTCACACATCGTTGTCAATATAATGAAATTTGATGCGACTGTCATACAAGTGAGAGGTTTAGCTAGCTATAAAACCAGGTTCAATCCACCATTTTCTACAAAAGAAAATGCCTGTACCAAGTCAGGAATATGACAGTTGTTATCCATTCGTTTGATGTGTTTGAGCTTTTGATTTTGCCATTTGATTAGAGACTTTACTTTTTGAATTTTCCTCGGAGTTCAGTATTTTTGTGATTTTACTTTTTTCTTGATGATGTCAGTTTCAGAGAATAGTTTGTTTGAATCAGTGTGATTTTTCACAAAGTACGATTTATCCCTCCCTAGACAAGATATTTGTATCTACCTTGGTCATCCTTTTTTTCATGAAACAGAGCAGGACCAATTCTTTCAATTATGTCTTTTATTTTGGAATGAGGAATACTTGTGTAAAGGGTATAAAATCCAATGTTTCAAGAGGATAAAGACTTATTGTAGTACTCTAACAGATCTTTGATTTTTTTTTGTATCCATATCTAATTCACGGCGCCCCTAGAGTATGTAGGTTCAAATTAAGTCAGAAGCCCGTCTATGATTGTTGATAAAACTGATGTAAATAATTTAGAACGAGATTTCGTTGAGCATTTGGAAGACCAAGCAATATAACGTTGTGTGTAGGTACACTTTTTTTTAAAAATAAATTTGGTATCCAATACAGTGAAGGTAGATCCAGTTCTTCATCTTTGGTTGAAATTCCAAAGGAATACAAAAGAGATCAAGCAGTTTATGTGGTGTGTTTTATTCACAAAAACGATAATGCTTGGGGCTTTATCTGGGGGGGGGGATCAACTGTTAAATGTTTTCTGTGCACGACAAAATCATCGGAAAACAGTAAACTTTCTCCCTAAATTGCACCAATCATACAATTTAATATTAAATTTGGTGGAAATGTGTATGATTTGTGATTGCTTTATTAACCTTATTATTGTAAATATAAAAGGATTTGTCCGTGAGAGATACATGTACATGAATGTGATGTATGTGTCCATGATAACTTGACCAACTACATCCAAGTTTACATTTGAATGCTTGCATTATCTTTTAAGATTTTATGTTTGATCGAGGGAAACCGAAAACTTTACAGATTTAATTGTAGATTTTCAAAAGGTGATTTATAGTCTTTTTTTCTTTTAACCTGTGCGTGTATTCATTTTCAAATAGCTCATAACATCTATTGGTTTCGTTTTATTATTAGATATACAATTACATTTATGTAAAGTGAATAAAAATATTGTTAATATATAATTTATATCATTATATGCACTGTTTTCTATTTTATAACCAATAACAAAATGTTTTAAGTTGTTTATATGTATATCAATATGACACTTTTGTAACAGAGTATTTTTTTCCAGAACTCCTTGAAATATCTACACTCTATGTAATTGTGAAGGTAAGTGTCTGTTACTTGACAAGTAAAACATAGATTTGTTTGCTTCAATGAGCACCTACTAGAAGGATATAATGTAATAACTCCCATCTAACCATTTCAAGTTTATTATCTTCTAAGTAGTTGAAAATAAATTCTAATATGTGTTAAATTTATACCTTTTTATTTAAATGGAACTTGTTTATCCATCAAGAAAAAAAAGTGGAAATTCTTTATCAAAATGTATTTAACTTTTATAAATGTTGATGTTTTTTATATTGAGTAATTCATATGTTTTTGTCTCTTGTTTATAGAAAACTTTACTCTTACACTGCACCGTAGCTTTAATTGAATCTTGTTTCTGTAACAGAAATTTCAACTGCTTTGGTATACTTTTTCTTATCTGCATTATTTAAACAATTCCAATTGTTTTTTACATTTTAATTTACTTAAGTTTTTTTTTCTTTAGAAATGTTACTTTTGTCGTCAATAATGTCATTTATGTAAATCATTTTGTCTTCTATCCAGTGTCTGAAAATCAAGCTATGTCTGTTAGACTTTATATATTTATTTCCCCATATTATTTGCGGTCTGATTATTCTAAAATTATCAGGTTTGTCAGTTTGCCCGCCCCTATATTTAACCCTTGATTTTAGTAGCTCTAAATAGAATTTGAGTATATGTTATGCAACATTATGGATTGATTTAATACTATCTAAATTCATTTGAAAAATTAATAGGTTTGATCCATATTGATTTAAATAGTATGGTGGAATTATTTTCCAGTTTGCAATTTCGTTGTCTATTAATCGCTTTATCCATTTAATTCTAATTGATTCGAAGTGTTCATTTATATCTATCATTCCTAGTCCTCCTTCATTTTTGTCCAAATCTTTCTCTTTTACTTTTTCTGCCTTTCCATCCCAGATGAAATTATATACCAATTTTTTAAATTCGGACAATGATTCAGCGTCAATATTTGAAACGGATGCAATATAGGTTATGCTTGGGATATTTAGAGATTTGTCAACAGCTATTTTGCCTATCATTGTAAGATTTCTTTTTTTCTATAAATTAAGAGTATTTTTTTATTTGCAATTGTTTTTCAAAGTTAAGTTTCATACATTGTGGTTTGTTATGTCCAAAAATAAACGCCTAAACATTTAATAATATCTCTACTCCAATTTATGTTTTCAAAATTTTCTGGAATATTTTTTAAGTTGCCTAGCCATAAACCTTCAGTTTTGTTACGATTTAGTATAAGGGTCATTATCAAAAAACATGCAAATTTCGATGAAGTAATATTTGGAAAAACGATGTCATTGTTTAAAACATTTAAATGTGTCCCTCTATTCTATAGTATGGTAGCAACTATTTTCAGAAATATGCAATGGGAAAAATGAAGGGTTCCTTCAATTTTAACAATGTTAGGTCATCCTTTGATAGAATCGTGTCAATGGTGTTACCAATTTAAAACATGCATTTAGGTACTAAATATTATTGTTAAACATCAAACAACTGTTCCAATTTGTTGTTAAGGTTTAAATTACTACTTATTGACATTATTCCTCTAGCTATACATTCTTTTTTAAACATAAATTTCAGAATACATTGTCGTTAAAAAGTTGGCTGTCCTAATTATGGCTGTTGTAAATACTAAAAAATACACTGAAATTGAATATATGTATAATGTATAAGATGAAATGATAAGAATATGCTTAATCCTTCGTATACAACATAAAAACGCTTTCATTTATGAATAAAAATTAAAAAGTATCGCATTTTTATATAGTAACACCACTGACTCTTCAGTAACTCCAATGACACAAAAATATCACCATTGACAACACATTTCAAATTTTACTTTTATTAAGTACTTAACACAAAACAGAGAACACTGAGCAAAAGAAAAAGAAGAAAAAATAATTCTTAGGCTTAAAAATCTCAAATTATATAACATAATAGCAATAACTAAAAATGTCAGTAGTGTTACTAAATAGTGTCATTGGTGTTACCAGCATACACCAGTTTTTGAAAACTTTGTATATGTTATACATGATATTGTTAAAACATTGTTAAATAAGTATTGTTTGTTATAAATAATATGATGTTTCGCTTGTTAAACATGAAAGAAACACCAAAAAATGCTGATTGTCATAATATATTCAGTGTTGTTACTAAGCTGGTCAATGGTGTTATTTTATTTAAATGGTCTCACCATTGACAGTAACACCATTGATTTTCAGGTGTATTTTAAGGTTTAGTTACAAAATAAGGGCTCTATTCCCCTATTTTATATGTTGTTCCTGGTGCATGTTTCTACAATCAATATATTTCATAATTCAAAGTTCAGGAATTTAAAAAAAAAAAAAGATTTTTATAAGGGTACACCATGGACACTATTTTCAATTACGATATAGCTTGTACTTACTTTTAATATTTTTTTACTAAATTTTCAACATAAATGTTTGTTTTCTTTTGCATAACATGCTTACAGGTAACATTGCTAAGAAAGAAACTATTGTAAATGCTGAAATATTGAGAAAGATAACTCTTACCCTACCAATTTGTCTTTTGGTTACACCATTGACTTAAAAAATGAGACTTTTCCTTTTGGTTAGATTTTTTATTATAAAACCAACATACACCTTCCAAATCATTAAAAAAATGTTTGTACGTATCAAATGCAATAAAAAGTGATAATTTCTAATAACAAATGATATGAATAATAGCCCTATTTCAGGTCTGAAGGGATTTATAGTAAAAAATAATAGTTGATTCTGGCTATATCCAAGGGTTTGAGAAAAAATTATGAATGTTTTTATAACATTTGAGCTGCGTCGGATAGAAATCGACCTTATGCAATTGCACGTATACATGTACATTTATGAGACTTTGATTCCTTTTTGAACATTCAAATACGAGATAAAAGATGAATTTAGGTCCGTTGTGTAGGGTTCTTATATCAACTCAATTTTGAAACAGTTACAGACTTTTCATAGAATATTTTTAACCTGAAGTAAGTTTACAGATGCATTGATATTCATTTGCATAAGGTCGATTTCTATCCGACGCAGCTCATTTCTTACTGTTAACTGTGTATAGTGTATCACAAAACATTCATATCTTTCATATGCAATAGTTATTTTGACACATTTTGATATAGTTTCATGTCTTTTGACTTGAAAAGACAAAATAACATAGTTTTGCATGTTTTTTTGATAATGACCCATAAGCGCTGTTAAAGATCCAAAAACCTCAATTACATTAAGAGCATGAGTAATTTCGTCTTTAGCGTTTAAAAATAGTGTTTTGTCATCTGCTAATTGACTTATTTTAAAACTATGTGTTTTCCCATCTAGTTTTATTTTGATCCCTTCATGATATTATCTTCTCTTATTTTACATGTTAGTATTTCAACACCTAAAACAAAGAAATTAGCGCTGAAGAATTCCCCTATATATTTCCAGTGGGCTTGAAATCCATCAATTGTTTTCTATACAGGCTCTTATATCTTTAGACAATGTTTTCACCCATTGTAACATAGATTTTTTTTTATACCAAATTTGTAAAGATTGGAACACAAATTCCCATTCGAGTGAGTCGAATGCTTTTGAAAAATCAAGAAACAGTATGGCCCCTACTATTTTAAACTTTTCTGCATAATCAATAATGTCTTGTATTTGTCGTATGCTGAAACCTGTGTAACGTTTTTTATGTATCCATTCTGATTACTATGAACAATGTTCGGCAATAATGGTTTCAATCTTTAGGCTAATGATTATGCAATGATTTTGACATCAATATTCAGTAATGTGATTGGTCTGTAATTACATAGATTTGTACGGTCCCCCTTTTTGAATAATAAAGAAATAAGGCCTATTTTTTGAGATTCTGACAACATTCCTACTTTATAACAGTAATTAAAACTATCTGTTGTAAAACTTTTTAATTTATCCCAAAATTATCTATAAAATCCAACAGACAGACCGTCTTAACCTGTGAACTTATTAAGTTTCATTTGAGAAATTTATTTTGTACATTCCTCGGCTGTAAGAAACCCACTTAAAGACTTATTGTCGTCTTTGCTCAGTGAAGCATAAATGTTTGTGTCGGTTATAAAATCATTAATAAATTGTGTAAAATAACACATTTTAACAAACAACAAATATTTCAGAACAGATTGTCCAATTGTTTAATTAATTCATAGTAAAACTGTTTTCAACATTAAAAAAAAAACTATTTCTTTCATAATAAAATACGAATGGTATATTTTTTTGGTACATTAAATTGTTAAATTTTAATAGATATCGGGATGTGAAAATCGAAAGAGTCAGTCAATCGACACTTATTTGACGTCCAAACTTTTAACCAAGTATAAAATATGATAAATCAACGTGGTGACCATATATATGTTATATGACATAAGAATAAGATATAAAAAATCAACCAACTATTAACCAACGTAAAACCTTCATGCAATGTTTGCATAGCATACTGCCAAACAATAATCTGTTAACACCCAACCTCTGCCCAAAGGCAGGCCCTATGTTGGAAAACCCATTCACTGTTGAACTCTTAAAAAAAAAATAGATGGCCCATCGTTAGCCCATCGTTAGCCCAATGTTAGTATAACAACGCCTACATTCAACTAACGATACAACTTTTACCAAACGTTGCACAATAGGTGGGCCAATGTAAGTATGCCAACGCATATGAATGGATATTACATCTTGTTTTTTATTTTCTTTATTTCTGTCAATACTATAAATTGATATGATTATTCATGTTCAAGACGAAAATATAATTCAAATATTATATTTAAAGCCAAAAGTACATCAAGTTCGGGAAATAAAGATATGAATGAAATGAGATATGCAGTTGTTAACAAGAAAGCATCCTATCGATTCAGAAAAAAACTTCATGAGTAGAGTTGGGAGACTTCACGGTTTGACAGTATTCAAATCCCCCTTGGTACATTGACTCATCGACTTTAAAACTTTTGAATACTTTAGAATAACTATTATTCTTTGAATACCATTTTCGTGGATTAAGTGGGGACAGGTGAACTACAAATTTATAGATTCAGCGAATTACATGTTTTCTAAAGGCTTGTATGCAGATTTTGGCAAAACCTCGAAATCAAATATCCACAAAAATGGAAGTTTTCCTCAAACGAAAATTGGTGCTCACGAACATAAATGAATCTACAGTAGTTTACATATTAAAGTTTGCTTTTAGGTTATTTGTCCCTGCACCTTAAGTTATGGTTCATTGACCTTGAACGTTTTGCAACATTTGTATTATACTAAACACAAAAATAAAACATAAAGACGAGACATACCTCTGTGTCAACTATTTATTCAATTTTTACTTTCGTATTTGTAGATTAATTGAGAAGGCACACGATTTCTTATCTCTAAAGATAGAATGGATAACGGCCAGTATGTTAAACCAACAGTTGCTATTATCATAACAGGGATGTGTTTTATGATATATTATGGAGTATTCAATAATATAATTGAATTGAAATGGGACACAACATTGATTACATTGAAGTGGGACACAACATTGAAGTTGGATACAGAAACCTTCCATGCGTGCACTGGCCTAAATTGTACCAACTTTTTTAAATCCTATTTTTGGAAGAAAACCTATAACTCATTGGTTTTTCTGGGTGATTCATCTATGTATCGGTTGTTTATGACTATTATGAGAAAAAAAAGATCTTGCAACGTTCTAAAACAGGCTAATCGATGTAACCTTATCTCTTATTTGGGTCAACAAAGACGTTCTAAATGGACTAAACCATCTAGTACAGAAGGACCTTATTCGTATGGATTGACACACCCATTTTGTACAGATTGTTCTGGATGTAGCAGTGCACTTTATAATTGTGAAGACATCAAAATTGAATATATCTCAGTTGAATATGCACGAGATGTCGAAATTCAGTCAACAACAAGTAATAGTACTCAAGGAGCCGTTTCTCTGTACTTAAATTCAAATTTTACAAATGTATGTGTGGTTAATTCTGGTCTTCATGATATGATTTTACCAGCCCTCACAGACCGACATTATGTTAAGAATGTACACTTCTATGTACAACATTTGGTTCAAACTTGTCAGAATGTAATTTGGATTTCCACGACAGCAGTAAGAGGTGACAAAGGCTTCCCTCAAAACAATCGAAGGATTCATCGGTGGAATAGATTAATTAAAGATATGGTACGTAACAAGTTTCCAAACGTAGGTTTTATGGATATGTTTCCTATTACTAATTCCACTAAAGCGCACACGGATAATGTTCACTTAACTGAATCTGTGTATAAGTTGATAGCAAGATATTTTACCTAATTTGTGTACATGTAGCATTAAAATATAGTTTTTTTACTGTTCGAATGTTGAGTTAGTTTTTATTATAAAACATGTCCTAAATCCTTTTAATGGCGAATATTTGAAATCTTAATGATCCGTTCAAAGTCACAGAAAACGTAAAAGATGTTAATAAAAATATCACATTTTATCATGACTTATTCATGACTACATTTAATGATTGTGTCACCCTTTTCTTGTCAAGATATACAGATGCAAAAAAATCATATCAAGAAAATTATTTGATGATTTTATCATGTTTTACAAATTAAAAAAAAGAAGCTTGCGAATTGTATAACCTTTTATTTTTTCTAAGAGAAAAAAGGTTTTTAGGATATTTTTCACTGTATAATTTTACTCTAGGGCTTGATTTACGTTATGTACAGCGCAATCGGTACTCTATTCTCTTCATGGCCTTCTATCCTTTTCTGTAAACAACTTGCGAATTTAAAAAAAATTAACAACCCGAAAAAACAAATTTTGATCTACAACTGTCATTTTGATCTGAACAATAAATCTTTATGTCATTTTAAGTCTTTGTGTTATTTTTCATACTTACCAACTGCGGTAAATTTAGTACTGTTCAGTCAAATCGTTTGCAGTAAGATCTGTTCAGTCTATGTTCAAATTGTTTAGTAGTTGTTATTTACATATACACACATCAACATCTTACTGAAATGGCTGGAAAGCTACTGAACAGTACTGGATCGACTGCAAGCGAATTGTCTAAACATTATTGAAATACCGCAAATGCAGCAAAACCTCTTTCGAAATTATTAGTTTCTTTATGATCAAAAATCAAAAATGGGCTTATCACTTAATGTGAATCAACTTAATCTATGGCTGTGTTAATCAGCTGTTCATAAAAAAAAAACCAAAAGATCTGTACATCATGTACAATGTAAATATTCTTACATGTTCAATGATATTTTACCTCTCTACCCTTGACACTAGTGTTTCTTATACATCAAATAAAGACAGATTAAAAAATAGCCCATCTTTGTTTCGCTATATGATAAAAGTCAATGAAAGCCCTTTGATATACTACCCCTCTCTTTGCCACTTGTAAAGTATGATCTGCTATCCTTTACGGATCACATAAGATCACTCACTGAAACGGGAGTTCGTACTGATCACTTTCTAGATTTCTATTAAGTGTTTTGTAGACCAATGTTTTTTTACGTTTTCATTTTTTACCATGGTGTAGTGAGTTTTTTGATTTATGATTTCTGTTGGTTCCTAACATAGTTTTTGGGTCCTCTATGATCTTCAACAACTTCGTTTTTTATTTGGCCTTTTTAAAAATATATTTATTTGAACATCACTGATGATCCTTTCAAAGACGAAACGCACGTCTGGCGTAAACAATTTTAATCTTGGTATCTATGGTGAGTAATTTGGTAACCGTCGCCTCTTCTATGTCATTTTATTGAAACTTAAAACCACTCTGCCTGCAGATAAATAACAAAATGACCGAAACCTTCGATTTAGTTATTTTAGTTTTTGTACTGTAATGTGGTTTCGGTAAATAAAGTAGTATTAGGTGTCAGTAAAAAGAGGAGTGGGTTAAAATTACGAGTCGACTTTCTGCAGCCGAAACTTTACAGGAAGGTAACAGGAAGAAGATTTAAAAGCAACTCCCAAAATCATAGCTCTAAATTCTGAGGACAACACAGATACAAATAAATAATAAGCAACCAGAGAGGTTTGTACGAAAACAAAGACAAAAAGTGTACTAGCAGCAAACCATAAAAAACAGCGGGCGATATGTGATGGATTGATTCATTTTTTAGCTCACCTGGCCCAAAAGGGCTAATGTATCCGATGACCCCGCCCATCAACCGAAATGGCCGGGTTAAAAATAGAACATGGGGGAGAAATGCAGTTTTTGGCTTACATCTCTGAAACTAAAAAATTTAAATGAGCAACTCTGACAATAGGTAAAAATGTTCATCAGTTCAAGATCTATCTGCCCTGAATTTTCAGACGCATCAGACAACCCATTGTTGGGTTGCTGCCCCTGAATTGGTAATTTTAAGGACATTTTGCAGTTTTTGGTTATTATCTTGAATATTATAATAGATAGAGATAAACTGTAAACAGCAAAATTTTTCAACCAAGTAGGATCTACAAATAAGGCAACACGACCAAAATTGTCAATTGACCCCATAAGGAGTTATTGCGCTTTAAAGTAAATTTTTTGCATTTTTTCGTAATTTTTGTAATCTTTTACAAAAATCGTCTCCTCTTAAACTACTAGGCTAAATTAAACAAACCTTGGCATAAATCATCCTTAGGGTATCTAGTTTCAAAAATATATCCGATGACTCCGCTCATCAACCAAGACGGCCGCCATGGCTAAAAATAGAACATGGGGGTAAAATGCAGTTTTTGGCTTATATCTCTGAAACTAAAGCATTTAGAGCAAATATGACATAAGTAAAAATTTCATCAGGTCAATTTCTATCTGCCCTGAAATTTTAAGACGAATCAGACAACCCGTTGTTGGGTTACTGCCCCTGAATTGGTAATTTTAAGGAAATTGTGGAGTTTTTTGGTTATTATCTTGAATATTATAATAGATAGAGATAAAATTGTAAACAGCAAAATTGTTCAGCAAAGTAAGATCTACAAATAAGTCAAACCACGACCAAAATTGTCAATTAAAACCATAAGGAGTTATTGCCAAATAAAGTTAATTTTTTGCATTTTTTCGTAAATTTTTGTAATCTTTTACAAAAATCTTCTCATCTGAAACTACTGAGTTAACTTAAACCAAACTTGGCCTAAATCATCCTTAGGGTATCTAGTTTCAAAAATATATCCGATGACCCCGCTCATCGACCAAGGCGTCCACCATGGCTAAAAAAGAACATTGGGGTAAAATGCATTTTTTGGCTTACATCTCTGAAACTAAAGCATTTAGAGCAAATCTGACAATGGGTAAAAATTTCATCAGGGCAAGATCTATCTTCCCTGAAATTTTCAGACGCATCAGGCAACCCATTGTTGGGTTGCTGCTCTTGAATTGGTAATTTAAGGAAATTTTGGAGATTTTGGTTTTTATCTTAAATATTATTAATATAGATAGAGATAAACTGTAAACAGCAATAATGTTCAGCAAAGTACGATTTACAAATAAGTCAAATGACCAAGATTGTCAATTGACCCCTTGAGGAGTTATTGCCCTTTATAGTCAATTTTTCGTAAATTTTTGTCATCTTTTACAAAAATCTTCTCCACTTAATCTACTGGGCCAATTAGAATAAAACTTAGCCACAAATTTCAATAGGGTATTTTATTTGAAAAATGTATCCGATGACCCTGTCATCCAACCAACATGGCCGCCATGGCTAAAAATAGAACTATAGAAGTCTAAGAGAAAATTGTAAAACCAATCTTAAATGGTCACAACTTGAAAACTAATTTAAATAATGATAAGGGGTCTTCAGTAACTATTGTAAGACTACAATGGGATGACCTGCTTTTAATTTAACTACTGGGCCAAATTAAACCAAACTTGGCGTCAATCATTATTAGGGTATCTGATACTATTAATTATAATTTTAACCTTATTTTACATGATTTCCAAAAACCACAGTCGATACAGGTGAGCGACACAGGCTCTTGAGAGCCTCTAGTTGTCATTCAGTAGTAAATATTCATTTTTGTCCAGAATAAGAACGAATAAAAAATAAAAAAAATACAAATTCAAAACGTACATCCTGCAAATAGAGTCGACGGGGATGACGGCAAAGAAATGCTGATGTCACTGCAAAAGAGAGTATGCCTAAAAGGGGCAGACATTTGACCTAGCAACATGCCACCTTATGCATGACCTTTAAAGAACTTGTTGCAAAGATTTGTTCGTGTGCACAAGACATTGAATTGTTATTAGAAATGACGCTTAAGTGTCTTTTTGGGGGCGGAAAACTATAAATAAGATGCATATGCCAGTCAACCTAATGGGTAAATATTTAATGGGTACTGAGACTATCCCAGACCAGACGTCAGTAAATATTATAGCTTTCGGAAAATAAAAATACTCAGAAAACATACACTGACTGGGGTTATTTTTTTATGACTGTATATGCATAAAACAAATCTATATTAAAAAATGAAGTCACTTTAGGAGAGATATATTCCGGTAAAGGAATAGATCGATTTGGAGTATAAATCTTTGAAGGATTTACCTTATATAATCTACAGAAGAGAGGCGAAAGATACCAAAATGGACATTCAAACTCATAATTCGAAAATAAACTGACAACGCCATGGCTAAAAAAATAAAAAGTCTAGCAGACAAACAACAGTACACAAAACACAACACAGAAAACTAAAGACTGAGCAACACGAACCCCACCAAAAACTGGGGGTGATCTCAGGTGCTCCGGAAGGGTAAGCAGATCCTGCTCCATATGTGGCACCCGTCGTGCAGATGTTCAATATAATTAGATATGTGACAATGAGTTTTTTGGAGAAACAGACATCTATTTTTATGTTTCATTTTTTTTTAAATAAATCATAATAAGTAGGGTTTTAACGAGAAATCATTCAAAAAAGGGACCGTTATTCTTATTTTTTATCAAAGTATATTTTAAAAAGTATATCACAGATGACACAAAAGTGAACAACCTGATTAAATTTTGAAACAATTTTATGATACCTATCAGTTAATAATTTACATTTCATTAAGAACTTTCATTTGTTTTTTTTTTGCTTTGTTTCATGTTTTCTTTCAATTTGTGTTTTTTTTTTGTGTTTTTTTCTTGTTTTGTTTTCTTGTTTTTGTTTGTTTTTTTGTTTTTGTTTTTTTTGTATATACATAGTTACCATATATTTAGTAGTAAATATAGTAATTTTGAATATTTGATGAATAGCCTGCTGTTTCATCCGTATCGCTCAACTTTGATGCTCACCCTTTGTCACACCCCTTTATCACACCCCTACTCAAATTTCTCATTTATGACAGTAGTGATTCCGACTAAATTTACATGAAGTCCATATTATAATTTATGCAAGC